CATCCTGGGGGGTGAATACCCTCTCTGATCTCTCCCCAGGGAAAGGATTACATTGGATCTCAGCTCATCAAAGAATGACTAATCCATAACTGACAAAACAGAGCTATCTTGGAGCTGTGGTGCTCGAGAAGAGTGCTGAACATCCCATGGACCGCCAAAAGAACAGATATGTCTTGGAGAAGGTGCAGACAGAGGGCTCCCTGGAGGCAAAGATGATAAAACTTCACCTCACACACATAGGCTTATTCCTCTTTTTTGTTACCGACACATAGCTGACCCTCCAGCAGGTTTTCAGAGGCAGTTAATTTCACGAGAGTAGATGACCCATTCTTCGCAAGGAAGAAGTATTAGAGAAAAAGCTTTGAAAACTTTCAATTGTGATACCGGAGAAGAGGACAGCAGAGAAAATGAGATTTTCCAGATAAGGCAGGTGAAGGGACAGGCAGTACCCGGTGGATTAATTGAACATCATAAAAATTGTAAAACATCCATCAATGATTGATAACGGCATAAAACAAAATATCTAAGAAGGAGTGAACAAAAAGAATCAATGTGGTTTACAAACTTTCAGTTACATTAGAGAAGTACATGGATTAATTCTAGTCTATAATTAAAATAAATGTGAAGAATAAAATTGTTATTAAGTCTCCCAGCCCTAGTACCCTGAGATGCAATCAGCAGGCAAAGTTCAGACAACGTCCCAGGGTCTCTTTTCACTTTAGAAAGACAGAGACAGACCACCCGGGCCAGGCTCATCCAGGGACCCACATCAGTGCAAGCAGACTGGAGTTTACTGGCTTTGACCTTGGCAAAAAATAACCTATTCCTTCCTCACTTTTATACTGAGAAAAATTGCAGATTCCAAATAATCCCTCTTAGCTTAATTTAGACAGGTTTTCCGATGTTACTATAAAAGAAACACTAGCAATGGTTGCCAATAACACATTTATTTTTTTTTAAGGAGATGATTTTAGTGTGATCAAGGCACATCTCACAGCAAGCACATCTTACAGTCATCTCAGAAGAGATCAAAAGAACAGAAAGAGGTTGAGATGGACAGCACATCGGAAAGTGGGAAATAACATCACATCTGTATTTGGAACCTAATTGAACAGCTTCTTCTCCAGGGGTCCAGGTCAGGTCCTAACCTTGTTAGCTGCACCCCTAGGTCCATCTCTATCACACGGAGCATGTTCTGCCAGTCCTCCATAGCCCTCCAATTTCTAGTTGCTTCGGGGTCCATACCACACTCCACAGGGAGGGACAGCTCTAGGAATCGGATCTTGCACTGACTGAGGACATGCCTCAGAACGTTCTCCAGGGCAGCCATACGGAGGCAGTTTCCAGGGAACCTGAAGCAGTGGAGCCGGGAGCATTGGCCCAGGGCAGGCAAGATGGTGGTGAACTGGAACTCTGTCATTCTACACCAACCTAAGTTCAAGTTTTCCAGGGTGGCAGAGGTTCTCTCCAGCAGAGTGTGAAGATAGTGAGGGTTAAAATGTGTCAGCTGTTGGTGGCTGAGATTCAGGCGACGGAGCTGGCTAGTGCTTGGGAACATGGACAAATATTTCAAGTCACACTCCATCAGGCCACCATTAGTTATAGAGAGGGTCTCCAAGGGAGCTTGTAGGTACTTGAACATCTGGGGTAGGCGACCTGCCGGAAAGCGCATGAAGTCGAGGTGGAGATGCTGAAGTTGTTGTAGTTTAATCAACTGGGTAGTCAATTTGGCCCAAAGCCTGTTTACCATTCTTGAGGAGACCGAGGTGTGAACCTCGACATCAATGAGAAGCAGTCTATTCAGATGAATCATCTGACCCAGAAAAGGAACAAAAGAGGCCAGGTCAACCAAATTCCAGTCACAGTTCACATCTACCTGCTCCACACGAGCCAGCTCGACTTTTTCCAAGATCCTATGCATAATAGAGTTTTCCAGACGCTCATCAAGAATTTCCAGGTTCCTACAGCACAGTCGAGGGATAAGTTTGTTCTGCTTGACCCTCTTCACCATCCAGGGAAGCAGGGCATCTGCAGGGGGTTCCATGAAGCACAGGTCCGAGAGCAGCACCAGCACCTCCATGGAGGTGTACTGCTGCTTCTCCCCTGTGCTGGAGGGCCCCACTCCGCGCCTCTCTGGGCTGGGCTGCGCAGCCCCACTCCTGCGTGAGGGGTTCGCTGAGACCCCTTCCCCAAGCCCAGCCCACACGTGCCAGAAGTTGGTCTCAGCGTCCCTTCTGAGGTCCAGCACTTGGAGTTCCCAACGTATAGGTCGAAAGTCACGGGCAAGCAGCGCATCGATGCCATTGAGGGCCGCCTTCAAGATGTCCTGATCACACTGCAGAGCTTCCAGCAGAGCCCCCAGGGGGAGGTAGGGGAAAGGCCAGGCCTCCACCATCGCCTGGACC